TGTAACCAGGGGAGGGGCAGAGAGAGAATCTCAGGCAGGCTCCACGCCTAGCGCGGAGCCCGAGGTGGGTCTCAGTCCCAGGGCTGTGAGATCCTGACCTGAGCTGATACCAAGAGTCAGATGCTCGGCCGACTGAGCCAGCCAGGCGCCCCCATATGTGTTGCCTTCTGTCCAACTTGCCTCTCCACACCAGGGAGGGCCGATGCCTCCGTGGACCGGGGCTCCCTAGCTGTCCGGAGATGATGTTAAAGCAACTTCTGTGCCTTTGAGGGACAAGGGGACAGGGGACTCCCAGCTCTGGCGGCATCGATGGGCATAAAGACGGGGGAGTGGGGGCCACGTCAGTAGTGCGTGTGTGGTGTGTGGACGGGTGGGGCCAGAGGGGAGGGCCTGGAGGGGCTGCTTGAGGGGGGGGCCTTCTCACCGCCCATTTCCTCACACCCAGCAGGTGCTTATAAGTCCCATTGAAGAGACACGAGAAAATCCCAAGCGATGGCACAGTGGGTGAGGGGGCACCGCAGGTTGGAGCGAAGCGGCTTCACTAGGCAGACCGGGTCCCCAGCTGAGCTCTGCGTCTTTGAAAACAAGGTCCCTGTGGTCAGTAGGTGTGGGAAGCACCGCCCTTCCCATCCCACCCCAGGCCACCCACGTCTGGTGCTTCAGGGAGGCCCTAAACTTAAGATCCTGTGTAAGCTTTTAGTTAACTCCAATCTCCTTCCCCAGGAATGGCTTTCCTTCTAGGGTCCCCAGGAGACACGGCACAGGCCCTGCCAACGTGCGGTACCCGAGGACGTTTTCCTGCCCTGGGGAGGGAGGAAGGTGGTCTTGTGGAGCGGGGAAGCAGGAAGTGGTTTGGCAGGTCCCCTGGGCGGGGTCCTCGCTGCAGTTTTTGGCTCTTACAATCTGCGCAAAAATGGCCTCCAGATACTAAGACACTGATGATTTAACGATGTTGCCGCTCTGATTAAAGGTACACGTGTTTCACGAAAGCGATGTCTTCTGCCAGATTTACGGTTACGTTTCTTTTTATAAACACTTAAAAAAGGCGGAAAAGTGCCTAGAGTTGCAGGCTCTGTTTAGCCCAAGCCTCTGAGCTATGATTGTTTGCGGGGTCGAAGGGGGGATAAGTCAGCGTTTCTGACCAACTCTCCTCTAGTGCAGAGACCCCGGCAGGTGCCAGGCACGTCCGGTCGGTGCTCGGAAGGGCGGGCCTCCTGAGATCACAGAGACCTGGGGCCGGGTCCCACGGCTGCTGAAATGCGGTTCCTTCAGAGTCCCCAAGGCTCAGTGCAAGAGGAGCGTGTCCTTGCTCAGATTCCCGTGCAAGCAGAGCAAGGCTGCCGAACTTTAATTCATTCCACGCCCCAGAAAGCGCTAAGAATGAGACACTAAAGAAGGTGAAACCAAAACAATTTGGAGTCACGAGGAGGAGGCCAGTCTGTCTGTGGAATCTGCGGATTGTTTAGTTAGAAAAAACAGTGGCGCTTTTTAAAAAAATTTTTTTTTTTTAACGCTTATTTATTTTTGAGACAGAGAGAGACAGAGCATGAACGGGGGAGGGTCAGAGAGAGAGGGAGACACAGAATCTGAAACAGGCTCCAGGCTCTGAGCCATCAGCCCAGAGCCCGAACGCGGGGCCTGAACTCACGAACCGTGAGATCATGACCTGAGCCGAAGTCGGACGCTTAACCGACTGAGCCACCCAGGCGCCCCAAAACAGTGGAGCTTTAAAGCGTTGGCACCTCTAGGTGCGGGGAGGAACTCGGACTATGCTCATGAAGGGCGTTCGGGTGCTCATGTTAATGAATGGGTTAAAAAGCGTCGTTAGTGCTCTGTTGGATGCTTCTAGCTGTAAAGAGCAGTGAACCTGCAGAGAAGTGGCTTAAACCCGAGGAGCACTTATGGGCCCACGTGACTTAGCCTGGAGGCCTCCCGTGTGACGGGCTGGCCGAAGCTGGCGGCTCAGAGGCCCAGTGGTGTCACTGGCGGGCTGGTTCTGGGCACCGCTGTGCCCAGCCTCCCTCTGCACGTTGAGTGTTGGCCTCGGCTTCGTTTCCTCACAGACTCCGGACGTTCGCCTCCAGCCTGGGAGCCGCGCTGAGACACGTGGAGCAGAAGGATCGAGAGGCCGCTTCCTTCCCTGTGCCCTTCCTCTTGGAAACGCGCTGCCTGTGTCTGTCTGCCAAGTCCCCGTCAGCAGCTGGGGGCAGGCGAGGGGGCTTGGGTGGTGGGGACTAATCTGGTTCTGGAGTCTGGGGAGGGCCCAGGCTCTTCTGGATGGTAGGGTTGCTGCCCGGGACTGGGCTCTCCTTTTAGCAAAAGGGACGAGATGAGGGGTGCCTGGGGGCAGGTGGCCCCGGGGTCCACGCGAATCTGTGGTCTTCGCGGTGGACGTGGCTGTCCTCCCGCTTTCTCCTGGGCTCGCTCCTGTCTCCTCAGAGCCCCTCGAGACTCTCGTGCCGTCAGTTATCGAATCCCCCTCTCCGCTCTCGTGGGTCCTCCTGGCTGGACGGTACGCGGGCCGGAAGCCAGCCGGGTCTGAGCAGAACGCTCCCTCCCGTGGCCTCCCTCTTTTTTGTAAGACTTTATTTTTAAGCAATCTCTTTGCCCGGTGTGGGGCTCGAGCTCACGACCCCGAGGTCAAGAGTCGCAACGCTCCTCTGATGAGCCTGCGAGGCGCCTCTTAGTCTTCTTTGCAGACTCCGCGTTCTCAGCCTGGCGCTTAAGGTCAGAGGTCAGCATGGGTCAGGTCGGGGCAGCTCTTCTTCTCCCTCCAGACTTTTCCCCAGACAGAGCTCTCCGCCACCGGGACGCCAGCTCTCTCCTGGGCTGCAGACGCACACTCACATCTACAGACGCACACACATCCAGAGACACACACATCTACTCACTTGCACACCCAGACACACACACGCACACACACCTACATATGACACACACTCAGACACGTGCACACACACACATACACACATGCACACACATACACGTACATGTACACACATACCTCTACATTTACACGCACATCCACAGACACATGCACCTACTCGCACACCCAGACACATGCACGCACACACATGTGTGCACACACACATCTACATATGCACACACACCCAGATACTCAGATACATGCACGCACGCACATACACACATGCACACACA